ACCTCTCACCTCCTCACTTCACAAGAATCTCTGCACTGCTGGCTTTAAAATATTCCAGGTTTGCAGTACCTTTACAGGAAGAGCTTTTGAATGAACTCTCAGCCCTCTGAGTGAATTTGGTTTGGCCTCATCCGATTTTCAATAAGGGGCCTTTCATTTTTAAACAGCAACCCTGCACCCCCTCCCTCCCCCCACCACCTCGTACTGGATTTTCCCTGTGAAGGAAATATCCCCTCCACATTCTCCCAACCCCTCTCCCCCCACCCCAGCCCCAGGTGAAGTCTCCTCAGGATCTTGTATACTTCAAACAAATCACCTCCAACTCTTCTCAACTTCAGCCCCTTCTGTCTGACATCTCCTCATAAATAACTCGCCCCCATTCCAGGGATAGTCTGGTAAACTTTCTCTGAACTGCTTCCAATGTATTTACAATAAGGAGACTACAGTTTTCCTGACATGCCCATGACTCTGCTCTGTCTAACTGAATCATACCCTCTCTCTCTTTTCTGTTTAATTCCCCTCCTGATAACATTCTACTGGCACTCCTAACTCCTTGCTGCACCAATGTTCTAACCATATTGAGATTCACTCGTGAGGACACCCAGATCTCTCTGCATCCTCACACTGTTTAGATAAATCACCTCGTTTTTATTATTCCTGCCAAAGTGGTCAGTTTCACACATTCCCCACATGATACTCCATTTACCACACCTTTACTTACTCGCACAAGGTGCACATGGTGTGTGCTGCCTACCTGTGGTATTGTGAGAATCAGTACAGGACCAATGTGGTGCTGCCTACTAACTCTCTGAGTAATCTATAGGTTAGTTAGCTTCGTCCCAGGCATGCCTCAGGCAGGGTGACCGTATTCACCTTTGTTTGCACCAGTTAGTCAGCCTTCTGATTTACATGGGACTGGTTTGTATCCTCCTGTGCCTCTTCAACTCCCTCTATCTCCCCATCCCTGAACAGGAGATCAGAATGAGAGGGAGGTGATGGCCTAGTGGTATTATCGCTGGACTATTAATCCGGAGACCCAGGTAATGTCCTGGGTTTGAATCCCGCCAAGGCAGATGGTGGAATTTGAATTCAATAAAAAATATCTGGAGTTAAGAGTCTAATGATGACCGTGAATCCATTGTCGATTGTCAGGAAAAACCCCATCTGGTTCACTCATGTCCTTTAGGGAAGGAAACTGCCATCCTTACCTGATCTGGCCTACATGTGACTCCAGGCCCACTTAACTGCCTCCTGGGCAATTAGGGATACACAATAGATGCTGGCCTGGCCAGTGACGCCCTCCATCCTGTGCATGAATAAAGATTAAAAGGATGTTCTGGTGTGCTCAGTCGGTTTTGCCCTTGAGCTGTTGGTACACACTTGGTGAAAGAGTGTTGCTTCTGGGAACAGAGGCAATCCCAGAGCTCGGGGCCTGAGCAGCAGCTGCCAGTGCAGGGGTAATGATATACTGGGTGTCCAGGAGGTCAGTATTGGGAGGAACACTGCGATCTTGAAGGGTTATTGTGGGACCTGCAGGAGGTGGAGAGAGTTAGGATGAACAGCCAGGATGAGGATGGTCAGGTAGAGTCCTTGGTGCAAGGGGTACTGAGCACCCTGGGCTAGTGGGGGATTCTGAGTTGCTGTGGTTAACGAGATGAACAATAGAGGTTTACCTCAGGCCTGTGGCGAGCATATAGTTGGGTCTGAAGATGACAACAGAGGATATCCACAGCATTTCAGCTGAACAGGGATGGAGATGTTGCTATCCTCAGGGGAAACCTGGTGGTCTTGGTGATTGAGAGAAGATGGAAATGGAATCTCCCCTCGGCGTCTGATGGGGATATCTGAGGCAGTGAATGGTCAGCCCAGTCTGAGATATTGCCCCTGGAGAGATTCGGAATTTAAGTAGATCCTAAAGATAAAACCTTCAGTCTTCCTAATGTTCAACAGGGGGTAAATTGTGGCATGGCAGTACTGGATAAAAATAGAGTGTGGGATAGGAACCGCAGCAGTGGAATGGCCTCTGGTTGACTCCATATGCTTTGAAGTTCCCCAGGATCCTGAGTGTATCCCGCTCTGGTGAAGTGTCACCTCGACTTGAAATATTAGCTTGCTGTCTCTCCATGGATGTTGCCTGACCCGCTGTGATCTCCAGCATTTGTTGTTTTCATCACAGCATTAACCTAAACCTAAAGAGAGGTTGAGTAGATTAGGATTATTTACATTAGAAAGACGAAGGTTGAGGGGAGACCTGATTGAGGTCTACAAAATCATGAGAGGTATAGACAGGGTGGATAGCAAGAAGCTTTTTCCTAGAGTGGGGGACTCAATTACTAGGGGTCACGATTTCAAGGTGAGAGGGGAAAAGTTTAAGGGAGATATGCGTGGAAAGTTCTTTACGCAGAGGGTGGTGTGTGCCTGGAACACGGTGTTAGAGGCAGGCACGATAGCGTCATTTAAGATATATCTAGACAGATGCATGAATGGGCAGGGAGCAGAGGGATACACATCCTTGGAAAATAGGCGACAAGTTTAGATAGAGGATCTGGATCGGTGCAGGCTTGGAGGGCCGAAGGGCCTGTTCCTGTGCTGTAATTTTCTTTGTTCTTTGTTCTTTGTTCTTTAAACCTTGAATTCTCTCTGCAGTTTGTGTACCTCCCTCTGTTAGGTCAGGCTTTGTAGACTGAAGTTAGTGCCAGCTCAGTGGGCATCACTGAGAAATCATAGGTTCAAGTCCCACCCCCAGGGGCCTGAGCAGACAGTTCTCAGCTGACAGTCTGGTGTGGTAATGAGTAGCTGCTGCTCTGTTGTGGTGCCTTCTGCAACCATAGAACAAGAACCCATCTTCCCCTTTAAAGCACGGTAGAGAACCCAGGGCAATGTGGGATAAAGACCAGGGGGAATTCTGCGCAGTTTCTTGGGCCAGAGCTGCTTCCTTCACCCGGTATCACGTGATCTGGTGATTACACCTCATTGTTTGTGGGAGCTTGCTGTGCACAAAGTGGCTGTCACATCCCCTACATCACAACAGTGAGTGCACTGTCCAGTCCTTGTGCATTGTGTGCCTGTGTAAATCTAGCTGTGCAGTGAGGCACTTCAGGGTGTGGTGAAACATTGCAGTGTGCCGCTGTGCAGAGGGACCTGGGTGTCCTTGTACATGAATCACAAAGTGTTGGTTTGCAGGTGCAGCAGGTAATTAAGGCCGCAAATGGAATATCGCTCCTCATTGCTAGAGGGATGAAGTTACAATACAATATCCTTTTTATTGTCATGTTTACTCCATTGTAGGAGTACAGTGAAAAGCTTTTGCAATATCTGCCTCTTTATGGTGACACCTTAGGTACAAGTACCCAGGTACCATTCTGGGATACAGCAGTGGAATAAAAGTAGTTGCATTACTTTACAGAGTTGAAAAATAAGTTAAAAACAGGACATCATTTAAAGGGTTCACATTGCAGTGAGGCAGGCAATTTCAAATAGACATTACAGTGTAACAGATCTGCAGACCAGGGTCTCCACACGTGGTCTGGCTGCCCAGTCCACCAGCTGTCACCTCTCCACACCAAGCCCCAGACTGCCTCGCACTGGCACTCAGCTGCTCCAAGGTAAGGACCAGGACTGCCTCCCCAGTGCTGCTCTTAGCCCAGGACTTACTGTGTGCTGCTCTGGGGCTCACAGCCAGAGGTTATGCTGCAGCTGTACAGGGTGCTGGTGAGGCCACACCTGGAGGACTGTGTACAGTTTGGGTCTCCTTACTTGAGAAAGGATGTACTGGCCTTGGGAGGGGGTGCAGAAGAGGTTCACCCGGTCGGTTCCAGAGTTGAGAGGGTTGGCTTACGAGGAGAGATTGAGTAAACTGGGGACTGTGCCCACTGGCATTTTGAAGAATGAAGGTGCTATGTTATAGAAATATGTAAAATCATGAAGGGAATAGACAAGATAGAAGCAGGGAGTTTGTTTCCACTGGTGGGTGAGACTAGAACGAGGGGCATTGCCTCAAAATAACGGGGAGCAGATTTAGTACTGAGCTGAGGAGGAACGTCTTCACCCAAAGGGTTGTGAATCTGTGGAATTCCCTGCCCAGTGAAGCAGCTGAGGCTTCCTCATTGAATGTTTTTAAGGCAGAGATAGATAGATTTTTGAACAGTGAAGGAGTTAAGGGTTATGGTGAGCGGGCGGGTAAGTGGAGCTGAGTCCATGAAAAGATCAGTCGTGATCCTATTGAATGGCATAGCAGGCTCGATGGGCCGAATGTCCTGCTCCTGTTTCTGCTTCCTATATTGTTATGTGCCCTGAGGTGGTCAAAAGTGGTAGTAGGCTATGTGTTTTTGGGGGTGTTGTGAGACTCCTGGGGCCATGAGCATTGGGAGAAAGCCTGTAATGTGAACATGCAGCTTCTCTGTTTGCCCTGCAGAAGCCCCCCTTCACCTACACTCAGTCAGCGGTGTTGCTGTTGACAGCTGGGTATAGAGTGGGGGAACTAGCTTTACTGGTTACTGCCTCCCACGTGGGTGTGGGTACAGAGCAACGTGTGGATGAGGGGTATGCCAGAACTGCTCTTTATAAAGCAGCGCTGCCTGGTGTTTATGTCATCACCATAGAGACCCTTCCCTGCCAGAGGGATCTTTCGCTTTGAGCCTGAGTTGCAAGTTGGTTTGTGAACCTGATACCTCGAGCCATGCATGCCCTGGTTGTGTTTGCAAACCCAGTGTAAAGATCATTGCACAACTTTATGTTCAATTCACATGGCAGAGCCACACTGCATGGCTAGATTTCCACAGGTGTACACCTAGGTCACAGTTAAATGTACATACACTGTACAGCTGGAGTTACACAGGTATACACACATCACTGTTAAAGCTCACTGCTCACGCTGATCCAGCTGATTTCGAAGCAGGGAAGAAAGTTGCTTTCTCTGCCTGGCCTACCCAGTGGGCTGCAATTCCTCCTCATCGCTAGTCACCCCTCCTGTTCTGCTCCCCACCTATGCTGACCTCGCCATGAAGCTGAAAGGCCGTGTCTTGCTGCCCGAGAGACTCGGTATTGAATGACATTGAGAGCCATGTGTGTGGAATGAGAGTTAATGGCAGCCATGTCCAGTGCTACATAAGCTGCTCCATTGACAATGTGGGACAGGTGTCTGGACTAGGTACCAGGCAAAATAATATGAAGTATCTACCACAGTGAAACCTTCCTGGTCACCATAGCAACTCCAACAGGCAGATCACTATAAAATTATTCAACACACAACATTTCAGAATGTGACAACCATGGAAAGAATTATCCAGACAGAGGGTGTGGGCAGTTGCTGTGAGTCAAACATAGAATTAGGGGGAGAGAGAGAGAGCAGGATGTAAAGAATGTTCAGTTCCTGAAAAGACTAAATGCTGCAGATCACAGCAGGTCAGACAGCATCCATGGACAGAGAGGGCAAGCTAATGTTTCAAGATCAAATGTTTGATGCATTTCAACGTGCTCTTAGCTATAAAAGCTGGTTGCTTTTTGGTCACAGTCTCCCAGTCCTTGCAGTGAAAGCCTGTTATTTGGGGCTCAGGTGCTCACACTGAGGCTGGAGTTTGGCGATGTTACTGTGTGATGCTGGGGCGGACAGAACCGGAAAAGTACAGGCTGCATGTCTCCTCGCTGTGAGAGCTGGTAGAACTTGGAAATGCAGAGGGGTCTGAGTATGCCTGTGCATGAATTGCAGCAGGTTAGTGTGCAGGTACAGCCACTAATCGGAAAGCTTACGCGAATGTCGAATTTATCATTGAATCCGTACAGAGTGGAAGCAGGTCATTCGGCCCATCGAGTCAGCATCGACCCTCCGAAAAGCATTCCACCCAGACCCACTACCCCTGTAACCCAGCATTTGCCATGGCTAACCCACTCAGCCTGCACATCCCTGGGCACTATGGGACAATTTAGCATGGCCAATCCACCCTAACCCGCACACCCCTGGGCACTATGGGACAATTTAGCATGGCCAATCCACCCTAACCT